CCAACCCACCCCACCCATATCTCTCACGCAATAATACCTACACAAACTGCACTCACGCGCCGCACACACACACGCACATACACTCATGTCCGGCAACAAACACTGCCACCAGCCCGTCGACTCTCGTTCGCCGTCAACCACCGAGATGACCGTCGTCGGCACCAGAGATGATCGCCACCAGCAGCACCACCTCCCCCGTCCATCGCAGCCACCGGATATGTCCGCCACCAGCAAGCACTGCCTCTGCCGTCCGTCGTAGCCATCGGAGATGTCCGTCATCAACCACATCTCCAAGCTTCACGGCGGTCACGTGCGATCTGCTCTAGCGCAATGTTCCTCGACGGAAAACCCCGCTGCCAGGCCCTGCAATTGGCTTACAGATCGTCTTTGATATTGTCGCGGGAAGATGAGGTCCTCCGCCGCCGTTGTCGTCGGAGTACAAACGTCGTGGACGACCGACGACTACTATTGAGTGAAATTTTGATGAAGCTTGTACAGAACATGTTTCAAGAATTGTGGGGCAAACATTTGAGAATTTGATAAGTTTAAGGGACTTAATTGAAATTCTAATAGTTTTAATGTTTTATTAACTTTCACTTTAGTACATGTGTTAAATCTATAATTAATAAAAAAATCTATTAAATGCACATTGATAAATCTATAATTAATAAAAAAAACATTAAATGCACATTGATAAAGGTGTAAAATTTATTTCAACTATTAAATGCACAATAGAAAATATATTAAATGCACATAGAAATCTTTAGAGATTTTTTGATAAATGTGCAGAATATTGTTTATAAATATGTGCTTTAGAGGTAAAAACAATTAATCCAAATAAATTTTAAAATTTTGAATTGATAATTTCTACATAATGGGTTTAATTTGTCGGTTTAATATAAATAACCAAAATAACTGACATAAATTATATTATTTATTTTAGAAAAACACGATTAGCACTTCATATTTTTTATTTAATATTCTATATTATTTTTTTCACATATTAGTATATATGTAAATGAAATGTAATGTGCAAACTAACAGTTATTAAGGTGCAATTCGTCCAACAATATGGTGCACGGTGTCATCATGTATTGTGCAAATTAAACCAACCAAACTTTTGTACCAATCAAATTGAAAATGAAGATTATTAATTGGTGTATTCGATTTAGTTAACCGAATAATTCTAATTTATCGAAATAATTTATTATTTATATTAAAATCATATTTATTATGTTAGTTATTTTATTTTTATAATATTTTTGGTTAAGAAAAATGAGTTTGGTTGGTTTCATTCTCTATTTGGGCAATCTTATAGTCGTAATAAAGTGCATGTGTCATTTGATAAAGTGCCACATATTGTTTTATAAAGTGCACTATTGTATATTTAGTATTTTAGCATAATTCGGTTTGGTTAACCGAATTATTCTAGCTCATCAAAATAATTTGTTATTTATATAAAATTATATTTAATATGTTAATAATTTTATCTTTATTTTTATAATATTGTTGGTTAAAAAATTGAGTTCAGTTGCTTTCATTCGCTATTCGGACGATCTTATAGTCGTGATAAAGTGCATGTGGTATTTGATAAAGTGCAATGTATTGTTTTATAAAGTGCAAAGTGTAGATGTATGAAGTGCATATTGTTTTTTTTTTTATTTGTTCAATTTAAGGAGCTATTTCAGTTTAAGTAGCTATTATGTAACATGCAACTATTCTAATACTATTGTGCACTTACAGTGGATTCATTTTTTATGAATTGCACTGAACCAAAGTAAAAATGGATCGACATGATTGATTTAGTATGTCGGTTAATCAAAACACCATACATAATCAAAATAACTTTTATTTTATATTAGCATTATATATATATATATTTGTTTTTTTTGTTGAAAAAACCTAAAATATAACAAAATATACTAAAATTTTGTGTCGACCTATTTTTTTAGATGTATGACGTGCGATATTTTGTTAGGAGTTATCGACATTAATTTTGGTGTGTCGTGATAAAGTGCAACATATTATTTTATAAAGTGCGACGTTTTTGTTTATAGAGTGCAACATGTCGATATATAAAGTGCACTATTGTAATTTAGGTACGTTAGCATGTATGTATTTTTTTGCGTACGGATGGTTTGATGGATGTTAAACTATTGTGTAGATACATTTTTTAAATTTGTTAACATGTGGTATTTTGGTTGAAGTTATCAACGTTAATTGCAGATTTGTATAAAGTGCAATGAGTTGGTCTATAGAGTGTAACGTGTATTTTTATAAAGTGCATCGTGCTGATATATAAGGTGCCCTACTTTATATGTTCCGAGATAAATTACATTTTTTTGGAAATTATTTTGATATATATAATTTAGCATTGCATTAACCTAAATAATTAAAATAATCTATTTTTTATTATTATAAAAGCATAATTAGTATTTTATTATTTT